TCGTCTCCCCCTCCGCTACCCCCACTGCCACCGAAGGAGCATGATTCTAGGCGGCTACAGATGCAACCACAGGCAAGCATGGGCAGTCCTATGAACAGGCCACAGTACCCACCGGAGCGCAGCCAAGCACCTGCAATGGCATCCGGGCAGTATCATTTGCCCCAACAGCCGCAACATGTATCCCAGTCGACACCGGCATACCAGGCTGGGCCAGCGCAGTTCCGGCCATTGAATGGTACCCACGTTATTCGTCCAGAAGATTCGGGTCGTGGGCTTCCGCAACAGAATAATTACTACCCCGTACAACAAGCCCCTCCTACAGTCTATCAGAGACCTCCGCCACAGCAAGTCCCACCCCAACCGTCACCACATGCTGGACCTCAGCAAGCGCAGCAACCAGCTTCACGTCCCAAGGCAGAGACGCAAGATCTTCTCACCTCTCCGTTTGAGCTCGAGCTCCCCTCGTTCACGCCCACCGGCCCGGCGCCCCCTATCCCACCGAATCCTGAGAAGGACGCCCTACTACGCGCTGTTTCCAAGACTCTAGCAGAAACACTGCAAGCAAATGTCGCACAGTCCGAGACTGCCGCTCAATCCTTGATTTCTCAATCCCACTCGCTGCATGCGGCAATTGCCACTCTTCAAGGCGAAGTATCGTCGCTCAACACACTCAATGCGACTCTTCAATCAAACACCACAACCCTGCAGCAATCTCTCATGCGCGCAGATGGCGTCATCGCCGATGCGCAAAGCCGTATATCATCTTCAGCCCCGTCATCGAGCACAGATCCCGTTGCGTCGGGTCTTCCACCGATCGACGAAGTTCTCGTCGCCCCGACTGTTGTCGGCAAACAATTGTACGACTTGGTTGCGGAGGAACGCGGTATCCAGCAGGCCATCTACGCCCTTCAAGCTGCGCTGGTTAAGGGTGTCATTGGTGTTGAGACCTGGTCACGTCACACGCGTGGCCTTGCGCGAGAAGCGTTCTTGAAACGGGCATTGATACGGAAGATAGGCAAAGGCATGGGATTGGAAGTGCATTGATGTTACGATGATGGGATCACTCTTTTTTGATTGCGAGACCCATGTAGACGGATCTGTAGATAGATACCCATAAGGTCGATACATGTTGGCCAGACAATGTACATAGCTTGGCGTCCGTAGTTGGTTTGAAATAGCAAGTGCAAGAGCACTATTCCGTACGATTTTCAACAATCAGGAAACAGAAGCAAGATAATCAACTAAAATTAGAAAAACCCAATGACCAAACGTTTTCAAATCCATAACCTTCGACACAACTACCCGACAGTAAGCCATCCCCACAACCATTAATTCCAACCCCCATTCCAACAAATCCCACTATGCCTATACAATCTCCAACCACCCCCACCAGTAACCCCATGCTGGTACTTCAAACCCAAACCCTAAACCACAACCCCCCCAACAACAGCAACAGCACCAACCAACCCAAGCATCCACCCACTCAACTCAGCAGAAACACTACTACCACCACTCGACTTCGTCTCCTCCGCAGCCTTCGCCTCACCCACCCCCGTCGCCGCAATCTGCCTCTTCACCTCAGCAAAGTAACTCTGCACGTCCGTCGGCAGCGCCTTATACCACTCGGGCGTATTCCCAGCGCTGAACTCACTCGCCATGGCGACGCGCTTCGCGGGCACGAAGAGCTGCGCGAGCGCTGTGGGAGGAACGGCTGTGATGACTTGATGCACGACGGCGTGTGGTGGAGGGGAGACGCTCTCTAGGTTGGGTGGTTGTTGGGTTTGTGTGGGGAGGGAAGGTTTTCTGTATGAGGTTATCAGTAAACATATAGTACTAATCGATTTATGTGGGTTGGTTAGGTTATTGGGAGAATGGGGGCCACGAACAAGGCTTGCGCGAGAGCGAGGAGGTTGTTGTCGTTGAGGTTCACATTAGGGATGGGTTCCGGGGCACATATGGCTGTGGTGGCTAGAAGGGTGGGGAGGAGGAAAAGGGAGGAGAGGCGCATTTTGGTGGTGTTTTTTTTATTAGTATTTTTTTTCCGGTGGTATATTTGGTTTTGATGATGAGTGAGGTTGGAGGAAGTAGTAGAAAGAGAGGTACTACTGGAGGGTGGAGTGTAGTAGTAGATAATAGTATATGGGACGGGATGAGTTGGGACTGACTGGGACAGGGACAGTTAGGGTGCAGGGGCACACCATCATATGCATGGGACCTGTTCAACTTGGGCCGAGATCCGATGTGTGAGGGGAATAAACGGATGGGATCGTCGTGGAGAAGGGCCCGGGCTAAGATTGAGGGATCTGCATACCTAGGGGAACTTCTGAAGCGTAGTCTGGGCTTTTAGTTCGAGACTCATTTTTAGAGTTGGATTTTGCCCTATGCTTTTTGGGCATAGAGGGGACGGGTGTAACCTATTGTGGATGGGAGGTAGAAATAGGGTGAAACGGGCTAGATTTGAGTGGGTGTAGAATTAAGTTGGGTGTTATGTTATTTTAGGTCTGGAAATGGTCATTGGATTAGGTGTGGCTCGCAATCTTCAGATAGTGAAGCTTCGCGGTAGATCTCGAATCTTGTATGTCTGGTTAAGTGGATAAGAGCTTAGGACTGGCAAGCAATAAAGGTTGACAATATGTGATTCTTGGTTATTCTTTGTTTGTCGGCGGTTGCCCATGTTCAATGATGAGCAGATAGGGCTATTCTCCTATCACTTTGTCCGCAGGGCCCCTTATCATCCACCATGTGAGACATACTACCATCTATTTAGTATATGGGTCACCAAAAAAAAAAAAAAAAAAAAGGGTTAAAGGTACAACTCCCATTATTCGACAGAATTCAAGGAAGCTGCCCAGAATGCACAGCAGTTGGTACCTTACATCGTGTGAACCTCAACTCTATTAAAGAAGGTACTCTGCTGGTGCATTAAAGGTTCTATCCCTACACAATAATCGCAGCTAAGCAGCAATGATCCACTACGTGAAGTACCGACAGGACGAAAGTTTAAGGGAATAGCCTCTTGTCTTCATCATGCCGTTCATCCTCTCACTAGGTCGGATCATGCCCGACGAGAATAAGAACTTTCCAGCAAATCTCCGGTGTAGAACAAAAAACAAGAACGACAGGAGCGATATACTTTGAAGACCACTGATCTCGTGTAACCATAAAAGACCCTCAACATCCACCAAAGAGAATATGCAGATGCTTTACAGATAAACGACTGCAAACTAAAAATGGCTTCCACAAATCCCTCAACGCAAGTGCCCTGGTTTGAGATGGAGCCAGCTAAAATTGGGATGAAGTCAGCCGAAGCGGTTACAATATGGCTGCAAGAGGCCAGAATACCCTGTGCTTTCATTGGAGAGGTTGCTTTGGAAAGTTACGGCGTCGAGATTCCCTGCAGGCTGGTAAGCTCTGTTCTTCACCCATATCCTGCTAACATTCAAGAAGAAAAGGAAAGACACTGACACAACTCTGCAGGGAACCACCCTCATTGTCGCCGACGCGAAAGTACACGAAGCAGCCGAAGCTCTCCATGCCAACGGCCTCGAGCCCTGCAAAGGAGGCGATAATTGCGACTGGGAGAACGATGCTATGACTGAAGAAGCGTCATCACCAGCGCCCTATCATTTTCACCTTGATCATGGCCCACAAGGTAACCCTCCGTTTTGGTGTGAGTCGCTCAAACTGTACAGGAAGTCAGATATTGATCCAAAGCTGCCTGATCCTGGACTGGAAGTTCCAGGGCCTCAGGATCGGAACTACATGGTTGTTACGGACCCTCGCTTGCCGCAACTGGGGCATTGGAAGAGGAGGACGTATCCCGTTCAAATCCTCTCAAAGCCACAGTTTTTCAAGACAATGTTTAACCAGGCAGTCAATTGTCCTCCAGATGGATTGCCTGATGATCACCTCACCCCCTGGGAATGGAATGTGTTCCGGCTGAAACAGATGGGTGATGGTGGACAGCCGAAAAGCCACATGGTCGAGGGTCTGGAAATGCCAGCGCGTCGGTACATTGAGCTCCTCGATATGGAGGACCTTAAGCCCAGCCGAGAATTCATTGCTCAGGTGAGACTTGAGAGAGGGGGGAAGGGGCTGTAAATATGGTAGATTATCAAGGGATGACCTTCTGATGGACACTATAGAGATAGTTAGAGAGCCAGTACCTAATGGATTGCTTTTCTACTGCTTGGTCTCCTTCACGGTGCTCACCTCACGCACCAAGATTGCTAGTATCTTTATAACATAGATATAACTGGAGAGCTCTACCATATGAGCCTTAAGGTAATATCCATACAATGGCTTATCCACGATTAGCTTGTCCTTAGCGCTGCTTGTATCCTTGGTTTATAAAGCCATAGATAGTCACTCAAATATATCAGCTGGCCTGCTGGCCCAATGGTAAGGCGCTTGACTACGGATCAAGAGATTGCAGGTTCGAGTCCTGCGTAGGTCAACTTTTTGCCTCCTCAGACTCCATCTGAGGGTCAAATTTTTTCGGTCCCAAATATTATTGTGGTGGATCTGATTAGGCTTTCCGCATTCAGCCTAGCGCGCTCCTCCTGTAGACCCGCCCTGTGATTGCTCTGCTCTCATTGTCAACATTAACGGCTGATGATTACACGACCGTTTAAGACTAAACCTACCTCGAACCATGCTCTCATCGCTCCTTAGATCTCTACCCCAGCTAGGGCGATGCTGGAAACCCTTAGATTTCAACAACCTCAACTTCACTCGCATCCCCAATTGGCACCAGATAGAAGAAGAGACTATCCCCGAATATACCGCCTCACAGTACTATCTTACACGGATAGGAGAAGTGATCAAAGAACAGTACCAAGTTATTGGTAAATTGGGATATGGATCAACTTCAACAGCGTGGCTTGCGCGGGACATGGAGTGGGATATTCATGATTTCCTTTGCTGTTAGTAACTGTTGAAGGGTGTATCTGATGCTTACTACATACATGAATTATCACTATAGTAACCGGCGCTATGTCATGCTCAAGATCTTCCTCCAGGCGGAGTGTATGGGGATGCAAGTTGATGACGAGCTCGAAATGTATAGACAGATGGAACAGCAGTCTGAAAGTAATCATCCCGGTCGCGATGTTGTAAGAACCTTGCTCGATACGTTCTATATCAATGGGCTGGGGGATAAGCATCGCTGTCTCGTGCACCCGCCGTTATGGGAGAGTGTTCTAACCTTCCTGCGCCGGAATCCGGTGGAGAGGTTACCTTCGGTGATTCTTGCTGTTGTTCTTCATCGGTTGTTTATGGCGTTGGAGTATCTTCATACTGAGTGTGGGGTAGCGCATACTGGTTCGTAGTCCACTATTATCCTGGTTTTGTGATACCCACGTGGTGTAATGTATTAGATATCAAGGCTTATAACATCATGCTCGGCATCAATGATGACTTTGTCTTCACTGACATTGAAGAAATTGAACTCCAACGACCCGTCCCGAGGAAAGAGGTCTATGACAGAATGATATACATGTCCCGGGTACTCAAAGTACCCAAGGATGTTGGTGGTCCTGTACTCTGTGACCTTGGTTCTGCCATGGTTATCAATGATGAATACCAGAGGGAATTCATACAGCCTCGGATTTATCGAGCGCCGGAGGTGATACTGGGAGTTCCGTGGACGTATAGTGTTGATATATGGAATGTGGGGTGCATGGTGAGACAATTATTATCTAACCTTGTGGATATCTGCTCATGGTTGATGAACAGATCTGGGATCTATACGAAGGTGGTTCTTTATTCACGGGATACGATCCTGTAGATGAGAGGTACCGGAGCCGAGCGCATCTTGCGGAGATGATTAATCTTCTTGGACCGCCGCCTCAGAGTTTGCTTGCGCGGGGGCAGTTGAGAGATAGGTTTTTCTCAGATGAAGGTATATTATACGGTATTTGAGGAGATTTGGATTAGGACCCTTGACTGATGAGTATAGGTGCTTTCCTCCATCCGGATTTATTGACCGAACGGATCCCCCTTGAAGAAAGGGAGACGAGTCTGGAGGGAAAGGCAGAGAGGGAAGCATTTTTGCGTCTCATGCGAAAGATGCTGCAGTGGGAGCCAGAGAAGCGTAGTTCTGCTCGGGAGTTGGCGGAGGATGAGTGGTTGCAAAGTTATATATGAGATACTAAAGCCAGCCTCTCTGTACTACAGCGTCATCTACCATACAGCAATGTGAATGTAAACAATAGTATCTTCGTTACTTAATAGTACGTGCTAATATTACAAACCACACGGGATAACAAAGCAAATTAATAACTCCATTCCCATATCAAACAGTCATATCAATCATATCGTGTCATCCATCCCTCTTCCGGAGGGAGTGATCAATACCTCTTCTGAACCTCACTCTCGACCCCCCTCTCCCTAACCTTCCCCTCATCATGCACATCCCTCCACTTCCTCTCCTCCTCCTCATCCCCCGTCGCCGCAGCCGCGACCTTGCCCACAGCTCCCTTAGCCCTACCCTCAACACCCTCCTTCCAATCCCTCACCTGGCCCTCCGCCTCGGCCTGCTTTCCAGCCGCATTCTGCTCCTGCCCAGCCTTCCTCAGACCCTCATTTCCAATCAGATTGCCTAGGGACTCCTTCGCAGAACCGACGGTCTGGTCCCAGCTGCCGTTGCTGCGCTGCGGGTGGTCTGTGGCCGCAGCGCCTGTGGCAGGGTCGGCGGTAACGGGTCCAAGCTTGGTGAAGTTGTTGTGGCTGGCGTTGTGTTCAGCTTCGCCGCGGGATTGGGTGGCAGAGCCGGTGGACTAGATGGAGGTTGTTAGTTTGTGGGGTTGATGGTGATGGGGATGGGAAGGGGAAACGAACCTGGGTGGAGGAGTCGCCGGTTAGGGAGCCAGCGGCGCGTTGGACCATGCCGGTTGCTTGGTCGACGTATGATTTAAGGGTCGAGGTGGTGGTGGTTGTGTTGTTGTTGGGGGAGTCGGTGGAGGACATTGTGGTTGTTGGTGTGTGTGTAGTATTGGTTCAGGAAGTGTAGTAGAGAGTAGATTGATTGTAATGTAATGTAGTGTAGTAGTAGTGGTTATTTGCTTCTTTGTGTAATGCTGTGTTGATGGTGTTGATGTTGTGGGTGTATTTATAGATAGATGGTGGTGGTGAGTCCGGGGTACATGACGTCAAACACCGACGTCATCGCCAGGCACGGCAGAGTCGAAGTGACACCAAAATGGATCCGCAACAGGAACAAAAGGGGCAAGGAGGCAAACAGGCAAGCAATAATGACGTCCAATCTCTCATGCATTCATCAGTCTCGTCATAATCAAAGTATTCATCGCTCTATGTACATCGATCATCCCCCCCTCGTCATCATCATCGTCATCGGCTGTCTCAATGCTGATAGTGAAAACACCGACCCGCTCATTAGTGAATCATGAACAAACAAAAATAAAATCATGCAGCATCTATTCCATGCAATGCTACCAATGACAAATGCCACCCTCACTATCATCCGCTGCCCATGTTCCTGACAGCCCCACTACCTGGAGATGTCCATCGTGGTCCTCGTCCACTTTGCTCAGCGCCGCGAAGCTAGACTCCGACGGTCCTGTACTCAACAGCCGACGGGCCCATGCATCGATCGCTGGCTCGCCCGTCTCATCCCGAGCTTGTTTCAGGAACGGGATCAAGGCTGTTCCACCCGTGCCCCGCAATTTCTTGCTGTCCGGCTTCTCGCCGTTTCGGGCGGTCGCCAAGTTGATGGGTCTCTTGGGACTGGTTGCGCGCGCTGGGCGACTGGATCGAGCGTCCCGAGATTGAATAATGATATAGCGGGATACGACTTGAATGTGCTTGTCGCGCATTGCCCGAAGCATCGACAGACATGCGTCGTATGCAATGCACAGTGCCTTGTCCGACCGTCGTGCTTCCACGTACTGTCGGATGTTGGCCACTGCATTGACATGCTCCAAGAAACGACGATGCGCTGCAGGCATGTATGTACGCATCTCCTGGATGAACCCGTGACGAGGTGCCCCAGCAACACCCTCTTTCTCGTCCTTCATCGGGGTGTTGTTCGGACGCGTCTCCCCGGTCGGACGGTGCTCAATGCCCAGAGCGATGTCGAAAAACTGGATCAGTGAGCTCTGGGCGTTGCTACCGCCGCCATACTGTCGATACTCGGGCTGCCCGTTTCCATAGTCGTATAACAGACCATGCGGGAGACCGGCATCAGCCATGTTCTTGCTCCCAGCCAGGTAGGGCCGGATGCGGTGGTAGAACACGTACGGATCGCAATGCTCGTACATGCGCTCCAACAGCGACCCTACCTCGTCCAGCACCTCGGCAAGTCGCTGCAGGCATTCGGTGACTACTAGACTGTTTCCAGCCCGGGCCGCCGCAATTGCTTGCAGCACCAGCGGGATCGAGGGTGCTCCACGAGCTTCAATGGCCACTGAGACCAGGTAGAACCACTTCTCATCCAAAGACCCTGTGAACGTGTTGATGGTGTCCAGATTACGTAAATCATCGATCGGTTCCTCCGGGAAAATAGGCTTATAGTTCCACAAACACACCCCTGCATAAGTGGCCACGGGTGGCAGACCCAGGTGCTCGCAGACGTCGAATAGTGGGACGGTCAGCTGAGGCGGGATTTTCTGGTCACCAAAATTAGCTCAGGAACCACTCTGTAGCTTTGTGTCACCTACCTCTGCCGGCTTGCTGCCCCCCCACACATACCCGTGCAGCATAAATACCAGTACGACATAGGCCCTGTGCCACTCGTTCTCCGACTGGAGATATGATGTAGACAGCGTGGACATATGGTCGACCACCTCCCGGATCCTCCGGCTAGTCAGAAGTGCCTGCAGGTTGGAAACGACCCACTCCCACTTGGCATAATAAGGGTCTGGCAAGATCTCAAGCGGAGGCTCTGGAGGGAGGAAGCCATGGTCCGCCGAGATGCCGTAGTCCGCCAATGCTGGAATCGGAGGAAGCATGATGATGGGACGGCTCAAAACAACCTAAACGACACAAGATACGAGTCGGGGTGAATGGAAATGCCCAAAGAGCCAGCGACGAGGCCTAATATTAATGTAGTAGATGCTCACGTGCGAGTGGGCTCACAGCGAGGGCAGTCGCGTAAGGTTCGCTGATTGTCCGGGACTTGACGTCGAGCGGAATAATATGGAAGCTCGGAGGAAGGAGAGGTTCCAGTGCCCGGACGTGAGTCCGGACAATCTCTAGGAAAGCAACAGTCGTGTGACGCACACACTGCGACAAAGCAGGCGAGATCCCAACCGACCAAGTAAAAGCTGACAAGATCGGACACAAACAGAAGTAGGTGTCGTGTCGGGCCTGTTACGGACGCCTCACAACTGCGATGCAGTCAGGAAAACAAGGCTTCGGTTGATCTGACCCAGGTCACAGCAAGACGAGCAAGGCTCAGAGCAGGAGACCAGGCACGAAAGGCAACGCCAGGTCTGGTAATTGTCAGAAAAGTGAGGTTTGTGAAGGTCACGGGAACAACCGGGACAGATTTGGACACAAAAGATGGCGAGATGAGGGAGGGAAAGGTAAAAGAGAAAGGGGAAGGAAAATTTGCTCAAACTAAGCCCATCGTACAATGGTCCTCTCCCGAAGTTAAATAATCAGCGACCATTTTCCACCAGGACAAGTTCCCAGGAAAGCCGCGAGGACCGAATAGCCGGACGAGAGAATTAATCAGCCTGGCGACCCAGGGCCAGTCATTCCGTAATAACGGCGATTGTGTCACCCGGAAACCGTCGACCGACACGAAACAGGGGTAGAGCCAGCGATCGTGGAGGTAGTATATTCTGTACCCATGGTGAAGGGTAGGACAGTTGACTAGTCCGTGGATGGACCGTCGTGACCAGAGGTCAAGTGGGCCGGATCCAACTTAAGTGCAGGCCAGACGGGAGAGAGTAGAGGCGAATATATTGCAGTGGCCAGGAAGACGGGCGGTTTGAGAGACAGAGTTTTGGTTGTTGGGGAATCTTGGTTGATGAAGATATCCGTCATATCAGCAGCGACGGAGAAGGGAGGCGTGAACTGTGAACCATCCCATGGGTAAAGTTGATGGGCGCAGGCGCATCTGGAGTAGATGAGGCCCTTGGGACAACGCCAGCGGGAGGACTGGGTGCGAGCGAAAGGGGTGTCCACCGGATTCCAGTAGGCTGAGTGCTAGAGAATGAACCGGGACTGCGTGGGAGGGGAGGCCGAGTGCGAAATCGGGCAGTTAAGCGAGCTGGGGGGCGTATTCGCTCCCACCCACGCCACCCCGTTCGGGTCTGCGGTGAGTTGGTCGGCCCCGTGCGGAGCTGCCCATCTTATTTCGACTTCCGACCTCGCTGGTTGGACAACTACTGATCTGCATGATTATCTTTAGTCTTTGACATAGCACATTTTCAAACCTGGTTCAATCCACCGGAGAATTTCCGTCTGTCTTTCTTTTTCCACTGAAGACGTGATCAGTGATTACCTCGGCGCCGGGAGTTCTCCGCGTCAAACGTCAATCACGTGAGACTATTACTACCACCACTATACAGCCAATCATACAGCACCTGCAACTGGCCCGATTCGGTGCCTCCTTCGTGAGTCAGCAGACATGGAAGCAATCATAGGTGGGATGCCACTACTAACTAACTAGATCATGGGTATCTGTCGACAATACTTTCTCCGAATACCCATCAATACCTGGGGGGCATAGTCATGGTCCATATATGCATGACTCGCTGAGAAATACAGACACAAATCACTCAAAGTCACTCCAAAGGTCATCTTATCGTTCACAAGTACTATTTGTTGCCGATAAAGCGTCTGTCTACATACTACTATTCATCTCTCTAGGTCGATCAATTGATTGGTCATTAATATCCATTTTTTTCGTACAGACTGGACAGATCGTCATCAATCCTATAATGTTACACACTATATGAACGCCATCCCACCGCTGATATCTGGAAAAGAAACAACAAGTATGCGCCTGGTATACGACCATATAACCGCCCTCGCAGTCAGTCTTTAACACAGAAAGAGAAAGTTTTAGTGCTGGCTCCATTCAATCGAGTTCAAATCGATACCCTCCTGGACCATCTCCCACAGCGGGCTCAGCTCCCGCAGGAAGTGGACGCGGTCTTGCACCGCCTTGAGCACGTAGTCAATCTCACTGTCGGTCGTGAACCGGCCAATACCGAACCGGATACTGCTGTGGGCGCTCTCGTCGCTGCTGCCCAGGGCCCGCAGGACGTAGCTGGGTTCCAAGGAGGCGGACGTGCAGGCACTACCGGATGAGAGGGCAATGTCCTTCAGAGCCATCAGAAGCGACTCGCCTTCAATGTAGGCAAAGGAGATGTTGACACAACCGGGGTAGTGGCGGTCAGGATCACCGTTGAGCGTGGTGTGTTCCATGGCCAAGAGGCCGTCGCTCAGGCGCTTCGAGAGCCTTGCGATGTGCTTGGAGTCATACTGTGCAGATTGGTCAGCTACTTTCTCATCGACTTCGCTGTCTCGCAATAAACAAATGCAACAACCCGACTCATCACCCCTGCTACGGTCGTCAAAGCGCCATGGGGACACGCTTTGCGTGTCGCTACCCCCATGGCGCCTCAGTTAATCGATACATATTATAGCTTATAATCATCGCGGGAATTTCTTGACTGGGAAAGGTTGAGTTTAAAAGAGGAAAAGTGGAACATACCTCCATGTCTTCATATGCAATACGGCAAGCCTCACCAAATCCGACTACAAGGTGGGGGGCAATGGTGCCACTGCGGAGACCTCTCTCCTGTCCACCTCCGGAAATGATAGGCTCGAGACGAACTCTGGGCCTACGGCGAACATAGCATGCACCCATACCCTTGGGGCCATAGATCTTGTGACTGGAAATCGACATCAAATCAATGTTCAGCTTGTTGACATCCAGGGGGATCTTGCCCACAGCCTGGGCACCGTCGGTGTGGAAGAAGATCTTCTTCGAG